TCTGTGCATCTCTTATCTGTGTTCAGTAATGTTATGGCTGAAGCTTTAAATAAGCCATGGTGGAGACTGGTAAATGTTATACATTGGGGCTTTTTTTTTTTTTTTTTTTTAAAGAGAGCTGGTTTACCAGCATACCACTGGTATCAGGAAGGTTTGATGGAGGAAGGCTCCGTCACTTTGTTTTCACAGCGCAATACCTAGTAACATGTTTATTGCATTCCACTGAATTAAATGGAAAAATAATCAGTGTCCTTTGAGACCTTGAGTTTCAGGAATCAGAAATGCATGGTTTGAGATTCAGAGAAAAGTTAGAGCTGCAGATCTGGTTCTGCATGCTGTCCGAACTTGGAGGTAGAAATACAATTTCAGGGAGTAGAATGAAGAATTGGAATAAAGGGGATAGGCCTGAGAGGTAGAAATAAAGGGGATAGGCCTGAGAAATCAGGACAAACCAGGGCAAAAATTCTATGCTAAACTGCATGGGGTTTGGTCAATAGCATTTAATGGGACAGAAGTCCCCTTTCTTAGAGAGAGAGGACTAAGAAAAGACCAATAAGCAAGATTTTTTTCTTTTTTTTTTTTTTTGAGACGGAGTTTTGCTCTTGATGCCCAGGCTGGAGTGCAAAGGCGTGATCTCGCTCACTGCAACCTCCGCCTCCCAGATACAAACGATTCTCCTGTCTCAGCCTCCCAAGTAGCTCGGATTATAGGCGTGCACCACCACACCCGGTTATTTATTTTTTCGTATTTAGCAGAGACAGGGTTTCGCCGTGTTAGTCAGGCTAGTCTCGAACTCCTGACCTCAGGTGATCCATCTGCCTCAGCTTCCCAAAGTGCTGGGATTACAGGTGTGCACCACCGCACCCAGCAATAAGCAGGGTTTTTAAGAGGTTGTTGGTGACTTGAAAATCTGTTCCGCAGAGAGAGACACACACACACACACACACACACACACACAGACACACACACACACAGAGAGAGGTCTGAGGCAAAGGCTAATTGCTAGGCTTTCATAGGAGGGAAATGGTAAGGAAAATGAAGCAGATAGTGTCATGAGCCTTTTTTTTTTTTTTCTTTTTTGAGACAGGGTCTCTGACACCTAGGCTGGAGTGCAGTGGTGCAGTCACGGCTCATTGCAGCCTCAACCTCCTGAGCTCAGACGATCCTCCCACCTCAGCCTCCCTAGAAGCTGGGACTACAGGCATGCGCCACCATGCCCGACTAATTTTTGTATTATTTTGTAGAGATAGGGTCTTGCTATGTTGCCCAGGCTGGCCTCAAACTCCAGGGCTCAGGTAATCAGCCTGCCTCAGCCTCCCAAAGTGCTAGGATTACAGGTGTGAGCCACCACGCCTGACTGTCAGGAGCCTTTTGAGAACCTGTCAGTGAAAGTGGGTGAGGGAGGTGGTGGAGAGGCTCTGAGCCTGGAGAGAGGGAGGGGCTCCACTTAGAGGGTGGAGCCAGGTGGTGGTGCAGGTGAGAGGGATGGGGGCAGCCTGCATCAAAATGGGGGGTGGGGCATAGAACAGATACAGTAGACCCCCTTTTTCCCCCAAAGTGTGATCCATGGACCAGCAACATCAGGGTCATCTAGGATCTGTTTAGCAACACACTCTCAGTCCCTCCCCCGGACACACTGAATCAAGACCTGCAGTTTAATGCGATCCTCAGTGCTTCTGAAATGTGCTCATGAACCAGCTGAGGACTTTGCCATGCATCTGAATCTGGTCCCTGGCAGAGCAGGAGCCTAGACGGTACAGGGCCACACTTAGGCTTTCAGTTTCTGGCATTCAGCGACGGCGTTTGCTATGGTTTGGACATGGTTTGTTTGTCCCTGCCAAAACTCATGTTGAAATTTGATCTCCAACGCGGTGGTGTTGGAGGTGGGCCTGGCAGGAGGTGCTGGGTCATGGGGTGGGTCTCTCATGAATGACTTGATGCTGTTCTCCTGGTAGCGAGTGAGCTCTTGCTCTGGCAAGACTGGATTCGTTCTTAAGGGGATGGATTAGTTCCCACAAGAGTGGGTTGTTATACGGCCAGAAACTCCTGGTACAAAACCCAGTACCCACAGTGCTTTGGCCACAGGCTTATTGTTGGTGTCAAGCTCTCAGATGGTGGGGTCTGTGGTTCTCCCAGCCTCCACCCCCAGGCTTTCCCTGCATCCCCTCTGCTGGGCCAGCTCCCTAAATGCTTCAGCACACCAGCATCCCAGGTGGGGCTTAGCATAAAAAGCCACCCTGAAGACATGAAGGAATCTACTTCAGGGAATCCCCTCCGTTTCCTTGGAGCTTCCTCAGACAAAGGATCCCCGCTCTCCAGGCTCCCAGGTTCTTCATCTTCACTCCCTCTCCCCGCTTTGCCCTCCAGGGTTTGTATGGAGCTCCGGTCTGGGAGCCTTGGGACTCTCCTGGTGGATGCCCCAGTCTCTGTCTCTGGTCCCCACTCCAGCTCCGCGGGCAGGAGCGGCGGCCCTCCTGCAGTCGCCCGGGCCCTCTGAATGGGCTTGGAGGTCAGACTGAGACTCTGCTGCAAACAAATAGACTGCTAAACAACAAAATAAATATAAGGAAATTAGCGGTTTTGGATTTTTCCCTATTTCAAAGCTTTTGGGAAATACAGCAAAATTACTTTTAGGACCCTGCTTTGTAGGTAACTGTAAAGCACATGCTTTGACGGTCATTGAGAACTCCAGCATCACAGATGCCACCCTAATCTCCCCCTGCCCCAACCTCCATCACCACCACTGCCACCACCACAATCAACTTTCTCAACTGCACAGATGACCTATATATTTGTCTCTCCTGTGCTCCCTTCCTGGGGAAACCTCCTTGCCCCACTCCAGGTGACTCTGGTGAGCTGTCAATCGTAGAGCCCTACCTTTCCTGCCAAAGACTGGACAAAAGATCTACACAGAGCACTCAAGGACTCTCTTGGCCATTTCCTTCAGCCTGTGTTTTGTAAACCACATTTCCTTAGCTTCCCAGCTTCCTTCCAATATATTATATTGTGAATATTTCTGTATATTCATATTCTTTGAAATTTTATATATATGTGTGTGTATATATGTATATTATATATGTGTATATATGTATATTTTTTATATATATATGTATATATATGTATATTTTGAGACGGAATCTCACTCTGTCATCCAGGCTGGAGTGCAGTGGCGTGATCTTGGCTCACCGCAACCTCTGCCTCCCAGGTTCAAGCGATTCTCCTGCATCAGCCTCCTGAGTAGCTGGGATTATAGGCGTGCACCACTACGCCCAGCTGATTTTTGTAATTTTAGTAGAGACGGAGTTTCACCATGTTGGTCAGGCTGGTTTGGAACTCCTGACCTCGTGATCCACCCTCCTCAGCCTCCCAAAGTGCTTGGATTACAGGTATGAGCCACTGCACCTGGCCTAGGTTGTTCTTAATTTAAAAAATTATTATGAAGAACTCTTTGACTAACATTTTTATATGCAAAGCTATGTATACACTTCTATTTATTTATTTATTTTTTTGAGATGGAGTCTCGCTCTGTCACTAGGCTAGAGTGCTGTGGCGTGATCTCGGCTCACTGCAACCTCTGACTCCCTGGTTCGAGGGATTCTCCTGCCTCTGCCTCCTGAGTAGCTGAGATTACCGGCACGCGCCACCATGCCTGGCTAAATTTTATATTTTTAGTAGAGATGGGGTTTCACCATGTTGGCCAACATGGTCTCAAACTCCTGACCTCATGATCCACCTGCCTTGGCCTCCCAAAGTGCTGGGATTACAGGCGTGAGCCACCGCGCCCAGCCACTTCTAGTTACTTTCTTAAGAGACACTCCTAAAAGTGAACGTGAGTAAATCATATAAAAGTTTTAATTCATACTGGCAAACTGCCCCCAGAAATATTACATCACTTTATATTTTCAGTAGCTTTGAATCAGGGTTTCTGTTTCCCATAATCTTACCAACATTAAGCATTTATTTTTAATCATTGACAATAAGCTAAGTGGGGAAAAAAAAGGAATTTCACTGTTATTTTACTTTGTATTTATTACTCAAAGGATATACTTTTTTTTTTTTTTTTTTTTTTTTTTTTGAGACGGAGTCTGGTTCTGTGACCCAGGCTGGAGAGCAGTGGCTGGATCTCAGCTCACTGCAAGCTCCGCCTCCCAGGTTCACGCCATTCTCCTGACTCAGCCTCCCGAGTAGCTGGGACTACCCCCGAGTAGCTGGGACTACAGGCGCCCGCCATCACGCCGGCTAATTTTTCTATTTTTAGTGGAGTCGGGTTAGCCAGGATGATCTCGATCTCCTGACTTTGTGCCTCCCAAAGTGCTGGGATTACAGGCGTGAGCCACCGCGCCCAGCCAGGATATACTTTTTACATCTGTATGTCTTTATTTGTAAATTGCATCTTTATGTCCATTAAACTTTTTAGCCGGGATTTTTTCTTATTAATTTGTAAAAGCTGTTTACATATTAAAGATATTAATTTTGTTATATATATTTCAAATACTTTGTTTTTTAACCTATACAATGATACATAGTTTCTTTTTATCTATAGAAATTGTTTTTCAGCTGGGCACAGTGGCTCATGCCTGCCACCACTTTGGGAGGCTGAGGCAGGTGAATCACTTTAGGTCAGGAGTTCGAGACCAGCCTGGCCAACGTGGTGAAACCCTGTCTCTACTAAAAATAGGAAAATTAGCCAGGTGTGATGGTGGGCACCTGTAATCCCAGCTACTAGGAAGGCTGAGACAAGAGAATTGCCAGAACTCAGGGAGTGGAGGTTGCAGCGAGCCAAGATTGCACTACTGCACCCCAGCCTAGGTGACAGAGCGAGACTCCATCTCAAAAAAAAATTGTTTTTTTAACATAAATACATTTTAAAAATGTATTCAAATATATCATTATTTCCATTATATGTTCTTAATATGTGTGTGCTTAGAAGTACTTCCCTACTTAAGCTCATAACTATTTTCTTCTGTTTATCATAATTTAAAAAATTTAAATGGCTAAAACTGTAAATGGCTAAAGAATTTAGTCATTTCTTTTATTCCCTTATCTGCCTTTTTCTAGGTGCTCCATTTTCTCAGTTGGTGTCTTCCTCCAGGACTATACATTCTTAAAACAACTAAGTACTAGCTCCTTTGCAAACTGGACCAAAATCTTCAAAGGAAAGAGAAAGGAAGATTGTCTGCTGATCAAAGCAGTCACCGGGAAAAGTGGGGTATCTCCAATCTCTTCCATCTCAAGGCCAACTCATCCCAACTTCTGGTTGTACTTCCTCTGCGGAAAGACAAAGGAAAAATCTCTGAACCATCTCTGCTCACCTTAGGGATGGTGGTCGTCAAAGACGGCAGCCCAGGAAGGTCGGGGGTGGCCACTGTTACCAGGCCTCAAACCAGTAACCAGAAGTGGATTTGTTCTCCATGGGCACCTCCTTGTTTCCAGCCCTCCTCAGTCATTGCTGAATGACACAGAGCCAGGGCCCAGGGTACACTCAACACCATACACTCTTGAGAGTGTATACACAGGGGAGAGAGCACTAACATGTTTTAAACACTGTGTGCCAGACCTCAATATATACATGTAACTTTATTTTCAGCCTACCACCACCCTATACCACCCTACCACTATTCTTCCACATCCTCTACCACCACCCTACCACCCTACAACCACCCTACCTCCACCCTACCACCACCCTACACCACCCTACCACTATTCTTCCACACCCTCTACCACCGCCCTACCACCCTACAACCACCCTACCTCCACCCTACACCACCCTACCACTATTCTTCCACACCCTCTACCACCACCCTCCCACCACCCTACACCACCCTACTACTATCCTTCCACCATCCTCTACCACTGCCCTACCACCCTACAACCACCCTACCTCCACCCTATACCACCCTACTACTATCCTTCCACCACTCTCTACCACCACCCTACCACCCTACCACCACCCTACACCACCCTACCACCACCTTACCACCCTACAACCACCCTTCCACCACCCTACGACTACCCTATCACCACCCATAGCATCTTACCACCACCTGACCACCACTGTACACTACCCTACAACCACCTTACCACCGCCCTACACCACCCTCCCACCATCCTACAACCACAGTGGTCAGCAGTATTCAAGGCTCCTGAGATGTTGGACATGAAGAGTGGACATGTCCATGAGACTCAGGTCTGGGAAGCCATTAGACAGAACTCCAGGAGAAGGAGCCCCTGTGAACAAGTGATGTGGGGGAAGATGTAGGGTCCTGGCATGCTGACCCTAAAGAAAAATGGAGGTAGATGAAGGCAAATGCAGAGGGCACAGTCAGGAGCAAGCCATTAAAACCGCCGGAGTGAGCAGGGTGGTGGCCAGTTGCCTACTCTAAGACTTGGAGAGGTGAACTTTTTCTTGAATGCTGCCCAACATCTCCTACCTCTGAGACTGGAGAAAGCAACAACAACAACAACAAGAGATGGGACAGGCCGGGCGCGGTGGCTCACGCCTGTAATCCCAGCACTTTGGGAGGCCGAGGTGGGCGGATCACGAGGTCAGAAGATTGAGACCATCCTGGCTAACACGGTGAAACCCCGTCTCTAATAAAAATACAAAAAATTAGCTGGGCATGGTGGCGGGTGCCTGTAGTCCCAGCTACTAGGGAGGCTGAGGCAGGAGAATGGCGTGAACCCAGGAGGCGGAGCTTGCAGTGAGCCCAAATTGCTGCTGCACTCTAGCCTGGGCAACAGAGCGAGACTCCATCTCAAAAAAAAAAGATGGAACAAAATCCCCCTTCCACTGCCCTTCCCACTCCCATACTCCCAAGTCTAGTCCAAGTACCACCTATCCTCCCAACCCTCACCACAAGAAGATTTACCACCACTTCAGGCAAGCTATGTTTCCACCTGCTTGGAGGAGCACTCCCCAAGGAGCTGGGTTTGGGAGCAGGAGGCTGGGGATATCTTGGCATTGACCAGATGAGGGATTCCTGATAACCAGTCAAATTTAAGCTGGTTTCCCACCAGGGGAGAGAGGGCTGGGCTGGGGGCTGGGGCTCACTGTGATCCTGACACAGTGGAGGGATGCTGAGGGGGTGCTGCTGGTTTTTATTCCCTGTGGCAGCTCATCTCACTGCAAGCACCCTCCTGAGGGTTGGGAGGAGGGTGGGCAGGAGGTAAGGTGCTGCCTTTGGAGGGTACCAGCTGGCAGCCCTGCTCCGAGGCTCCCTCTCTCACACATGTGGCGGCCCAGGCTCCCAATCTCGATCTTAGTAGCCCAGGGGCCAGAGAGCTGAGCAGCCTCTTGTTAAACCTCAAAGACTTCTTTGTTCTATAGCTGAGGACCAAAAATTCAGGGCAGCGTCTCTTGGCTGGTTGCTTGGAGGTTGCTGGGAGAATCCTTCAGTGAGAGAAAAAGAGGTTTGGACCAAGATCACAAAAAGAAGTCAGTTCTTTTCTGCTTTCTGTTCTTCGCCTGGAGAGAGGCTCTGGCCACTTCCATTTTCTTTCTTTCTTTTTGAAATGAAGGAACAGAGCTTCAAGTCTGCCTTTGCACAGCAGCCCCCAGGAGCTTTAAAACCTACGGATGCCTCGGCCCCACCTTCAGAGATTCAGACTTAATTGGGGTGGGGTGGGACTTGCCAGGGTATTCTGATATGCCACCAAGGTTGAGGGCCACTGGCTAGTCACTGTGCTATCTTTTCCATGTTTACCTCTAACAATGATGATGGATCCTTTCCTCCCCGGCTGAGTGTATACAGCCTCGCTTGGAGATCGAAAACCTACAGTGAGGCCTTCTTTGTGTTTTCAAATTGTTCATTTTATTTATTTTTTTGAAGATACTGCTTTTTATTACAAAATCAGCAGTTAAAGCACAGTTTGGGAAAGCTAACTGGTAACAATGGGTGAGAATCTCCATAAGTATAACAAAGTAGGAACCAACATCATTAAAAATAATTCCAGCACTTTGGGAGGCCAAGGAGGGAGGATCACTTGAGCCCAGGAGTTTAAGACCAGCCTGAGCAACATAGCAAGACCCCATCTCTAAAAATCATTTTTTTTTGTTATTAGTCATTTCAACTTTCTTTCTTTTTTTTTTTTTTTTTAATTTTTACTTTAGGTTTGGGGTACAGGGACAGTGCAGGTAAGTTGCGTGTCACAGGGGTTTGGTGTGCAGATTTTTTTGCCACCCAGGTAATAAGCATAGTGGTTTTAATTCCTCACTTTCCTTCCATTCTCTACCCTCAATAGGCCCCGTGTCTGTTCCTTTCTTGGCGCCCATATGTATTCATACATTTGAGGCTTTTAATCAGTGGGTCTCTTGACCCACTCTGAAGCAGAGCAATTTTTTTTTTTTTCTGTCATCAGGACCGGCCAATGCAGAGCCTGAGGAGAGAGGATACGAATACTATGAAAGCCTCTGCTGCCTCCGAGTTGATGGTTTTCTCTCCCCACCCCATCACAAACCCTGATTATCCTGGAGCTTAGTTCCTCTAGCAAAGCTTCCTCTAACCAGCCCAAATCCCCTTCCTCTCCCACCTTCCTTCTCCTGGGATCTCTCTGCCCTTTGAAAGCAGAAAAACTGTACCGGGGTTTGCAATCGTCACCCCACTAGAAACATAAACCTCATTGGGACAGAATGGCCTATTCGTCTCCTCTGAATTTCCTGCCTTTCCCGTGACAGTTGCTCAATAAACATTCTTTGTGTAGTGGATTCTGTGAGGCCATTTCTTCTGGGGCCCTCTGAGCCTCAGTTTCGTCATCTACAAAATGGGGATAATATTCACCTTGGGCCAGGTGCAGTGGCTCACGCCTGTAATCCTAGCACTTTGGGAGACCGAGGTGGGCAGATCACTTGAGGTCAGAAGTTCGAGACCAGCCTGGTCAATATAGTGGAAGCCCATCTCCACGAAAAATACAAAAATTAATTCGTCGTGGTGGCACACGCCTGTAGTCCCAGCTACATGGGAGGCTGAGGCAGGAGAATCACTTGAACCTATAAGGCGGAGGTTGCAGTGAGCCGAGATCGCACCACTGCACTCCAGCCTAGATGACAGAGACTCCGTCTCAAAAGAAAAAAAAAAAAGTATCTCACAGAGTTGATGTGATGATGAATTAAAATGGACAGAACACTTTTCCTGTATCTGGCCATGCTCTAAGTGTGTAATTTGTATTAACCCATTGGGTTCTCACAGAACCCTAAGAGGCAGGACCCACGTGACTGCCAGGAAGCAGAAACACAGAGGGGTTTGGTAAGTAGTCCAGGGTCCCAGGATTGAACCTGGCCAGTGGGACACGGAGTCTGCCTTTCTGGGTGGGCTTGATGGAATAGACGAAGCCCCCAATGCACCCGCCATGCCCTCCTCAACATCGCTGGAGCTCCCCCTGCTCCCCAGGCGCCCACCCTGCATGGTGTTTTCCCAGTGGCTGGCTGCTAACCATTGCCTTCCCCTCATTCCTGCCTTTCTGGAAGGTCCAGCGGGGCTTGATTTTCTCTTCTGAGAAGGTCCCCCAGGGTGTCTCTCAGCATCTTCCTCAGCATCTCGTCTCTGAGAGGAATCTTGCCTCCCACCTGGAAGGCAGGTGTTGCCATCAATGCTGGGTCTGAAAACCATTGTCCTCTTCCTGCTAAGCATGGAAGGCCCCCCCCCCAACAAAGTTGACAATAATTGCAATTTTCCTCCCTTAGGAATGGGGTTTGTCTCTGGAGGAGGTCCCAGTCCTCCCTCCTCCTACGCCCCTCCCACCTCCACCCCACTTTCTGCCTTCTCTTCCACTTAGAAATGTTGATGGAAAAGCTTTGATTAGTGGGACTCCGGCCACAGAATAAACAGACCCTGGAGGACTCATAACCTGTTCCCCATAGAACAGCCACACCTAGGGTGATCAGTGGAGAACAGAGGCGCTTGCAATCCCCAACAGTTACACATGAGAAATTCAGGGAGGAGGCCGGGCGCCATGGCTCACGCCTGTAATCCAGCACTTTGGGAGGCCCAGGCAGGCGGATCACTTGAGGTCAGGAGTTCGAGACCAACCTGGCCAACATGTTGAAACCGTGTCTCTAAAAATACAAATCTTAGCCAGGTGTGGCGTGTGCCTGTAATCCCAGCTACTTGGGAGGCTGAGGCAGGAGAATCGCTTGAACTTGGGAGGTGGAGGTTGCAGTGAGCCAAGATCGTGCCACTGCACTCCAGCCTGGGTGACAGAGTGAGACTCTATCTAAAACAAAACAAAATAAAAAACCCTAGCAGAAACAAACAAACAAACAAACAAACAAAAAGAAAATAGAAAAAAACAAATAAAATTTAAAAAAAGAAATTCAGAGACATAGAGGTGGTCTCAACTGTGGGAAGAAGAGAGGGATAGGAGAGTGGGCATCGGGCTGAGCAAGGAGTATGGCCCTGGCCTGGAGGTGTGGAGGAGTTAAAGACCTTCCAGAGCTGCAAGTTTGCCGGAGCAGGGACCTGGGCTGGGTAGAGCTAATGAGGCAAGGAGGGAGAGCAGGTCAGTCTCTGCCTAACTTGGAGGACATTAATGCCTCCTTCCAGCAGACTGCATTTTCAAAATGAGTTTGGAAACCCTCAGTGAATCGTGACGCTAATATAGAAAGCTGCAGCCAGCATTTAAAAAAAAAAAAAAAGTAGAAAATATGAATGCATTGCACATAATAGCGGCAAGAATTGTTTTGTGAGCTTTTCTGAGCTTAATATGTATGGATGTCTGTAGGTGTTGGCTGGGTCCCCACGGAAGATACCTGTCTTACCGAGGGTTGCCACAGTTGGAGGCTTGCTGCCGAGAATCACGGCCCCGTGGAGAAGGGTTCAGGGAACGCTCTTGCGGCTCCTTAGTCCGTCTTGTGACTGCTCCGCCTGGGTGCGGAGAACGGGAGGGGCCCCGCCTCGCCCCGCCCCGCACCTGTGGGCTGCTGGCATTTCCTGAGGCTGCTGGTTGTTTGAAGGCTTAACTGCAACCTGCTGTGAAGCAGCTCTTGCTGAGTGCAAAGCATTTTTGAGGGAGTGGGGGTGGGGGTGTGGACTCTCTGCTTAATTAAAACAGGGAGAGGTTGACATGAGGGACCTTGCGTGGTTTTTGATCTCTGTCTCTTGCTCTGCCCGCTTTCTAACTTGAGGGGGGAAGAAAGCTTTTTCCTACTCTTTCTTCTTCAACCTCTCCCATCTTTCACAGACCTGGCAGGTGTGCTGGGCGTGCTGCCCTCCCTGAGGCCCCTCCTTCTCCATCTTGAAAGGGCTGCATTCTGGGTGCAGTTTATACACAGGGTGTTGTTGCTTGCGGGGATTAATCGTTCACCCAGCTAAATGACCTTGACCTTCTGAAGAGTCTTGACCTTCTAAAGGGTTTCAAAAATACCTATATAGGCCGGGCGCGGTGGCTCACGCCTGTAATCCCAGCACTTTGGGAGGCTGAGGCGGCGGATCACGAGGTCAGGAGATCGAGACCATCCTGGCTAACACGGTGAAACCCTGTCTCTACTAAAAATACAAAAAAATTAGCCGGGTGTGGTGGTGGGCACCTGTAGTCCCAGCTACTCGGGAGGCTGAGGCAGCAGAATGGTGTTAACCCGGGAGATGGAGCTTACAGTGAGCCGAGATGGTGCCACTGCACTCCAGCCTGGGTGACAGAGCAAGACTGTTTCTGTCTTAAAAAAAAAAAAAAAAAAACCCATATATAACATATAAAATATAACAGAAAAATATATATTATATATTATACACTATATGTCATATATTATATATTACATATAATTATAAATGTATTATATGTAATTTTATATGTAATTATAGTATATATAATTTTATATATAATTATATAAGTATATCTAATTTTATATATATTATTATATGTATCTGGTTTCCCTACAAAACAACATAAAAACATCTCATTGTAAATCTGGAAAATCTCTGTCACTTGGCAAAAGCACTGTGTTTTGGAAGGTACATAGGCTTTGGGACAAGCAGGTCCAGGTTCAAGTCCTGGCCCAGTCATTTATTAGCTATGTGACCTTGGAAATTGAACTTCCCTGAGTGTCTCTTTTAATTTGTTATGAGGAAGTATGAGATGAAACCTATCCAAAGCCAGGCATGCGCTTGCTGAGATAATTCAGTTGTGCTCAAACTGTGGTGGAATTGTAGACATTATGGTTCAGGTCTCTCAAAATCTAGTGCCTATCAATAGTCACAGAAAGTTGGAACCAAGGAACAAACCATTCACCCAAGTCCCTTTATTTTGCACATGGGGAAACTGAGGTCTGGAGACATTAAGCAATTTGCCAGCACCATGTGACGAACAGGTCAAGTATATTACACTTGTATTAAGGCCTCTGTGTTGCATTTATAACTAATCTCTCTAGAGAGTGGCTTTTAGAATATCAGAAAGATGCATTCCTCCCCACAACCCCTTAATTCTCAGGAACATACTTACTGTGTTTTCACAATAAGTTGTGTGGGATCAGCTGACCATCTGGTAATGATGGCTTGAGACAGAGCCTGTTCCCCAAGCCCTTCCATTTCTATACTTTTTTTTGTGTGTGTGTGAACCAGAGTCTCACGGTGTCGCCCAGGCTGGAGTGCAGTGGCGACAGACTCTGGCTCGAAAAAAAAAGCATAGAAATGGAAGGGCTTGGGGAACGGGCTCTTCCTTCTGGCTTCAAGTGATCCTCCTGCTACAGCCTCCTGAGTAGCTGGGACTACAGGTGGACACTACCATGCCCAGCTAATTTTTGTATTTTTAGTAGAGATGGGGTTTCACCATGTTGGCCAGCCTGGTCTTGAATTCCTGACCTAAAGTGATCCACCTGCCTCCACCTCCCAAAGTCCATTTCTATACCTTTGATTTCATTCCAGCAAACCAGTGGCAGGCAGGGCAGCTTGCGTCAGCGCCATACCTATTTTTCAGAGCGGGAAACGGAGGCTCAGAGGATTAAGTGACCAGTGCCAAGTTCATAGAGCTAGAAGTGGTAGTTATGTGGGTTCCATTTGAGTGCCTCCCACTGATAGCTACTGATGTGGCAGATACCCTATTACCAGGGAGAGAGCAGCCACCAGTTCAACACTTAAGAACAGACATACCAGCAGTGGTTCAACCTTGGAATCTGCTGGCTGGTGATGATCATCAAAGTATCGAATGAAAAGCACCTGTTACTGATGCATATCTTCCATTAACCCCAGCACAAATCAAACTAAACAAAGAAGCCCTGAGAGGGACCAACTCAGATAGGATGAGACCAGCAAGTTCACCTAACTTTTTGTCATATCTTCTTTTTTTTTTTTTTTTTGAGATGGAGTTTCACTCTTGTCACCCAGGCTGGAGTGCAATGGTGTGATCTTGGCTCACTGCAACCTCTGCCTCCTGGGTTCAAGCGATTCTCCTGCCTCAGCCTCCTGAGTAGCTGAGATTACAGGTGTGTACCACCACGCCTAGCTAATTTTTTTGTATTATTAGTAGAGACAGGGTTTCACCATGTTGGCCAGGCTAGTCTCGAACTCCTGACCTCAGGTGATCCACCCGCTTTGACCTCCCAAAGTGCTGGGATTATAGGTGTGAGCCACCGCGCCGGGACTTGTCACATCCTTTTAGGCTGCAATGAGATGCATGAAGTTAAACTCATCAATCACTCCTGTCTACACGCGTCACAGAGCTAGGTCCTCAGCACTTTCTTCACGCAGTGAATGTGTATTCAGGAATTGCCCCTGTGTGGAACTGGGCTTACTGCCTTGCTCAGGGGCTGAGGACAATGCATTGAGCCATTCCTTCATGCCTGTGTGAACTCCAAGGTGCATTTAAGGACTCAAGAAAATAGATCCTAAAGTGAATCAGGCCTAGGTGCTCTGGACACACTAGGCCTGTCTGTTCTCCAGCCTTTAGATCTGGTTTCCATGGTAACCCATAATCAACCACAACCTAAGCTTGGTTTCCCAAAGTCTTCTAGAGCCAACTACCTTGTATTTATTGAGAATTCCTCAAGGGCCAGGCACCTCGGTATGTGTGATTATAAATTATCTCACGTATAATTCTCACAACACTGTCATCCCATTTGGCACATGAGGACCTGAGGTTCAGAGAGGTTAAGTCACCTGATCAAGGTTCACACAGCTGACAGGTGATTACGTGAGGTAGTTGGCGGGGGTGACTCTGGCAACCTCATGACAAAGGGTCATGAGAAAGGCATCCTCCTATATTTGATTGACTGGTAGTGGTTCAGAGGCAACTAGGGATGTCTGATGGAGAAGGGAACAAGGCTTTGTTGGTTGGATCTACAAGGCCCATCGGGAGCCATTGTCTAAGAAGGCATTTGAAGCAGGAGAACAGAGTGAAGGTCCACCCTTATACTTTCCCTCATCCCACCCCCTCTCATACCCAACCCTCTCCATTCTCCATTGTTAGTCAACATGATTCTTGCTCTTATCCTGGAAGACCCCTTGCTGTCCTGTGGGCACCTGGTCATGCTCACTCCATCCCATCTTTGTCCTCACCCAGAGCCCCTTTCCTTTTCCTCTCCAAATTCTAACCATCCCTCCCAATGCCTGCCCCATCTTTTCCAGCCATTCTTGATTTCTCCTAGCCTTGATCTTGTACTGGAAATAGTAAGTGGCTTTTAAACATTTTTTTAAGCCACAGATCCCTTTGTTACAAGGAAATCATACCCAGAAATAAACACAAGTAAGACTGATAAAGGCAGAGCTGCTCAGAAGAAAGCTAGGGTACGGGAGGAGGCTGTCTGGAACCCTCCCCACTGGGGCCTTTTCCCTTATACACACTCCTGGCTTCCCTCCTACTTCCATCTGCTCTGGGAAGTCCTTGTGACTTCAAAACCCCTGGCCCAGACAGTATAACTTAGTATTTAACAAGATACGTGTTTCATTCTTGTCTTAAACTTCTTGGGTTCTCTTCCCTGTCTCTCTTGCTCAGACAGCAGCAGTTCTTTCCCAGAGAGCTTTTGTCTTACTCACCCTAAGCTCCTATCCTTCCATTCTCCTGATAGCAAAAGCAAAATTCTTGGGTTGCTGGATGCCAGGGAATATGAACAGCAAGATACTTACATTTGGGAGCCTCCGAGGCTAGTGGGTGAGGCTGGAGCTAGGCATCTGGGGGCTCCTATTCCAGGACTGACTCTGTTGATAAATACCTGGGTTGCCCTGCCTCAGTTTACCCCGTCTATAATGAGGAGAGGCTTTGCTTAGGTGTATTTATAAACTGTCTGGATGTATCTCATTTCATGTTAACAGATGTATATTGAGTGCCTGCCAGGGTACAGAGCCCTGTCTGAGTTTTGGCATGTAAGTAGGAAAACATGAAGGAGGCATGGTTCTTGCCCAAGAAGCTTATTGGAGGAGAGAGAAAGATGGACAAGGGAATAAAGTAGGGTGAAGGGGCAGGACTGTGCACTATGGACTGAAGATGGCAGCTGCCTGACTCAAAGTCCAAGGCAGAACATGGTGACACTGGGATCCAATGATTTGATTCCCTCTACGTCCATGGGGGAGGGGCTCATCTTCCTAACCCTAAGGTAAGTCTGTGGATGGTAGAGACTCAGTTCTCACTTCTCCTTTCCTTCACAGCTCTTCCTTTTTGGTCTTATTTGTGTTTATTTCTGGGTGTGATTTCCTTGTAACAAAGGGATCTGTGGCTTAAAAAAAATGTTTAAAAGTCACTTACTACTTCCAGTACAAGATCAAGGTGAGGAGAAATCAGGAATGGCTGGAAAAAATGGGGCAGGCATTGGGAGGGATGGTTAGAATTTGGACAGGAAGAGGGAAGAGAAGAGGGGCTCTGGGTGAGGACAAAGATGGGATGGAGTGAGTACAACCAGGCACCCACGGGAGAGCAAGGGGTCTTCCAGGATAAGAGCAAGAATCATGTTGACTAACAATGGAGCAGGTTGACA